CACACAAAACATTAAAACCATAAATACATATATTTATCTTCTCTAAGAGGCTCCCCTTTTAAGAATAAGAATTAAGAATTTTAAGAATAATTTATTTCATCCATCCTACATTCACTTTTCTACTTTTTCCCCCAGCCTTAACTTACACTTACAGATTGAATACACAAGACTTGATCAATTTTTGATTGATCTGTTGTCACTGATGAAGCTTCTTGTATCAGTCTAGTCAACTATACAAAAACACAAACACAAACATTATAAAGATTGTAGGGCATGAAACTTACGTTTGACCTTCTGTTCTTTTATTATTTTTTATGTTCCTAAAAGGCTGCCCTCTCAGAACTTACTAACCTCAGTGGGATGTCTAGAATTCAAAAATGTTGAGGGTGTTTTGAATGTTGAGAGCGTTTTGAAAGTTGAGACCATTTTGCCTTTTTTTTCCTGTGAAAAGCAGACCACGATCATTATGCCTCATCGTTCTGTGCTCTAAGACCAACATACAGTGGTATTTATATCAAGCTGGGGTCACACTATCACCTTTCCAGATTTCTAATCTATGTGAATTTCACACATGCTGTGGATTGATAATATTCGTCGATAGCATTTCTTTCCACAGGTGTGTAACCAACAACTCTGGGCTGACATTTTGAATGCAGTCAGTTGTAGGAGCTTGCTAAGCATTCTAAACCCCTGCCGAGCCATTGGCTGGCTGGGCAATTCTGGGAGTTGTAGTCCACACATCCCAAGGTTGTTAAGGTTGAGAAACACTGCATTAAGGCATGTGTATGTGCTTTGCTATGCATGTTGCCAGGCACGACCCTACCATTGGGTGTTGCCTCAGATGTAGATGCCAGATGTAGCAGCAACTTCCCACTGCCCCCTTTAAATCTTAAAATCAGTTTGTGTTTCACCATCAGCGTAGGTGAGACAGATGTGGTCAAAGGAGATACAATGCAACTCCCTCAATTAGCAGCAGATACAATTACCATGATGGCAACAAACCGGCCTAGAGGTTTGGGAATGGAATGTCAGGTGCCACCCGTTCTCCAGTCCCAATGCAGGCTGGATCCTTATTTGCAAATTGGATTGGTAGAAAAATTCCCATTCATATCTACAGATGCTTTCCACCCACTGTACAAATAGCAGGCCTGGGCCGCCATATTTCAGCCAGGGACTGTAATGGGGACAAATGATTAAGCCACACACTCCATCACATTGAGCCAGTTTCCATTCTTCTTGTGCCTCTGACTGATCTATTTTTCTTTTTAAAGGCACCACAAAATAATAAAAGATTGAGTCCCACAATGGCTAGGTTGCCCCTAAGGAATGGCACAGAAGCATTATATAATTGCTCTAAAAGTATGTTGAACCAAATGTTTAGAAAAGATGTGCACGCATCTAGTATTTTGGCATGAATGAGAGTTGGCCAAAATCTTAAAAGTGTTTAAACAAATGAACTGTAGACCACAGTGCAATTGATATAAAATCTCTTCTTAGGGATGAATTGGTGCTGAGATGTTACTGGGCAGGATAAATGGCAACTATTGAATTGTTAGTAGTACCCCATCCAGTGAATGCCTCAGATAAATGTCTTGATGTGAAGGCTTGACAGATGTATGCCACTAATCTTGGCTCTGTTTTAAGTGTTAAGAGGAACTTCCTGGCACAGCCAGTAATAGGGTACAAAGCAGCATTTTCATTCCAAAGAATGTCAAGAGCACAAACAGAGAGAGAAGGGCAAATTTGAAGTTGGCATTTAATTTATGCATATCTGCTAATGAAGAGAGGACGAAAACTTGCACATTTTCTAGGCCATTTCAAGTGTCAGAAGAGTTCACAAGTGACGTTTCCGTAATTTAAAATAGAAACCTTATTTTCTGTCCATGCAGAAAGATGCTCTTGTACGGTTCTTTCCCTCCAATTTTTGCCAACCTCAGCTGCAGTCAAGTGACCTCTGTTCCTGCATACAAAGAAGCCACCATTGACTTGTCTCACTTTTCATTTTCCGCTTGCTTTTATTTTCAAGGGAAATACAAAGAAGTGCTTGCAGATTGAAGGGTTGGGAGTCGTTGTGTGGCTTTGTCTCTTTTTCTTTCCACAAGTAGGTCAGGGAACCTGGAAAGCATAAACAAGTCAAACTGTACACCCATTGGCAATCTAGGTTACAAAACAACACATTCAGATGTGATTAAACAATGCGTGGTATAAATTCCATGGAATGACAAAAGCTTTTCCATGGCTAACAGCGCTTTTGCCAGGCAGGGTGGGGGAATCTAGAGGGAAGCCATTGGCCAAAGGCAAATGTCTTCTTTGCTCTGTTTGTTTCCTTTCCAGTGACCCCAATGGGACGGAAATTAACAATGCCACAGCTTTAGGGCTGCATAGTTGTTGGCCCTGTTTTCATTACGCAGGTATGTAGGGGGGGCTGCATTCTCTGGCATGCCCGTGGAATGGCCTGCAACAGACTCTACCAGCGGAGAAAGTTGTGTGTGTGTATGAATGCATATGAAAGTGAGGATGGTAAGGAGCGTTCTGTGGAGCAAGAAGGGGACCAATCTCACCACTTTGTGGTCTGGTACGAGTGCTTTGGGATTAGCACATGAGCCATGGAAGATATTTTGGGAATGGATGAGCTTCCTACTCAGCCAGCTCAGTAATTTTGTGAGGACTGGACATAATCTCAAAATCCCAAATGTGCCAACCAGCACAAAAAAAATGGGAGATCATACCTCATCTTGCACAAATAGCTTAAAAGCTTCATCATCACTAACTTCTCAAAGCAAGGAGAGCCTGTTAATTTTTCTGAAGCTCCAGTAGATGAGACCACCAGGTCCTGGAGCTACGCCTCCCCCCCGATGACTAGGATCATCCTTTAATCTTTTTTTGTTTCATATCAAGCATTGCCATATTCCTCTTCAGAAATGCTTTAATGTTTAGCAGAAGCAGACTTAGGCATTTTGCTTCTCCCTCTGGGCTTTGCATGTTTTGAAATCTATTCTTCTTGCAATAATTGAGTCATCTTGGGCAAACAGGATCATGCTTTCCTTCCTGTTCCTTCTCTCTCTTCAGGCACTTCTTCTAAAGAGTGGTAAATCTTAGAGTTCCTGGGGTAGATGGGCGACTATATAAACTACATACATAAATATGTTTTTATATGTATTTAAATTCTTTTTACCTGGCCTTTTTTCAAAAGCCTCAAAACCGCTACCAGTAAAGCAGATACTGTGAGAGATCATCCAGCAGTTTAGGGTCTGGTCTAATCAAAATGGTAGCTTTACATAACTATCCTAGGCCGGGCTGGTGATGCCATTGAAGACTGAAGGTCTGAATGGAACAGGAGAGACTTAAACTGAATCCTACTAAGATGGAGTTGCTGTTTGTCCATCAGGGTTCTCTGCTTGCTCCAGCAGTGTCTCTTGACAGAGCGGCACTATCGCTGAAGGACCAGATCCACAATTTGAAGGCCCTCCTGGAGTTGCAGCTCCTGCTAGAACCACAGATAGAGGCTGCAGCCGGGGGACCTTCCTGGGGTGGGAGAACTCATGCCTTGTGACCACTGTGACACGCTGCCTTTAAAGACCCCTTGGAAGCTGCACTTAGTTCAAACTGCAGCAGCCTGTGTGTTAGGCAGTGTTAGCTGGTGCTAGTGCCTTATACCAGTGCTGTGGGTCCTGCACAGACTTCTGGTCCAAGTTAAACTGCTAGTGCTAAGTTATAAATGCTTCAACGACATTCACTCATTGAAATTGGCCTAAGTAGTTTGATCTAGCCAGGAGAAGCCGCTGGTAGATCCCCACTTTAGGGAGAAGGGAAGCAAGGTGTAGACATCAGGTTGGCTCTCAGTTGACTGCTTTCTGGAAGCTCAAAACAGAGCTCTTCCAGAGGGCATCCTGACTGTGTATAAAATTGGTTTTGTTTATATAAGTGGTAATGTTATCCTTATTTCATTGGATTGTGGATGTTTTGTGTATTTTAATTGTGTATTGTATATTATTTTCTTTGCAAACTGCTAAGATTCCTTTCAGACTGCAGCAGTCTATAAATGTGATTAATAAATAAATAAGATAGTCACTAGCAAGGCAATCTGTTGCATGTATAATAGGAGATAAGTTCCACCTTGCTCTTATGCATATAACATGGGAGTAAACTCGGTTGTAATCAGTGAGACATTCTTCTCAATAATCCTTCAAAGGACAACCAATTAGCAAACATCAAATAAAAAAATATACACACGCAATCAGTCAAATCATTTTCAAAGAGGATAAAAAAAACCCCTCACTTTAAAGATGAGTTCAAGCATGTCCATCCAGTTTTCTTGGCAACGATACAGAAATGGTTTACTATTGTCTTCTGAAGTGTTTTTCGACTTCCCAGAGCAGCCCTGCTATTTTCTGGAGAGTTCCCATCAAGTTCTGGTTCAAAAGAGGATAGACATCATTAAAATAGCCTGGGAGAATAAGGTAAAGATACCTTGCCAATATTCTACAATACAATATCTATGAGAGCTGAGACTGGGGAGGCAGGAACCATAAGTTCCTGAACCAGCAGAGCCTAAGCAGCTGTCAGCTCCCAAGGTCACTATGTAAGTCGGTTCAGAAGAGAGAGAGGAAGAAGCCTAGATTTTAGATCCTGAAGAAGAGATGTAAGTCTTTGGCGGGGCATTGGGCAATCAACTGTTGTGTTTCAGGCTTTGTTCTTGCCAGCAATAAGAATTCTGCTTTATCTGAGTCGTGTCTGGGAGTCATCGCCTCTAGCCAAGAGCTGAACTGAGCGTTAAAGTATTTGGAAACCTCCAAGGCAGTAGTTTCAAATGATGGGGGCTGAGCCTGCAAGCTGTAGGAAATAAAAGAAATTATGCTGGTCTGTGACTATAATAAAGGTTGCTTTGATTTTAATAAAAGAAAGGGGGGCTCTTCCAGGTAAATACCCCTTGTCTAGAAACCCTGTGCAGAACAGAGTCTCCACCCTCTTTGGAAACCAGGCAGGATACAGAGGTTAAACTGTCTTGCTCTGGTGTTTAGAGTACCTGTTCCAAGCTGGGAGCAGGGATGGGACCATCTAGATGGCATTATTCTGCTCTCTTTACATCCATGCAACAGGATTAACAAAAAAGGGACCTTCCTACATACAGCAGCGTAATAAGAGGGCTTTGGTGAACTGTGTGCATGGCACACCTCCCGGCGTGTTGAAGTAAGTCATTTGAAAACTGAAAAGGGATGGAAGAGATAAGTATGAAGTCATTCACAGCATGGAGGAAAATAACTTCCACACCTTACTTTCAGCTGCCCAACTCACTGATTTACCTGCCTACTCCATTGCTTCAACAACCCAGGATGTGTGTCACTTCCCTCGCTCACAACATTCCTTCCTTCCCTCCTGTACCTTCTTTCCATATTTAGTTTCGTTCAGATTGCCTGTCTAACAGTTGCATGTTTTTCATAATACAAAACAACCATTGTGAGTTGCGCGTATGGGGGATTGGTTTGCTGACATGAGTCGGGAGGGTCACTGTCAAGATGTCCAGCCAAGAGAATCAACAAATGTCTCTTGCAATTTTCTGAAGTTGGTCTCAGAGTCACGTGACATTTTTCCTGCCCAGAAATTACTGCTTTTAGAGCCAGAGAAGGACATGTGGCACGTGTCAATTGCATAGGTGATTGGAAATGGCTCCACGTTGTCCTTTAAAACACGAGAAAGACTGGCTACCTTTTCATATGGGATATGAATGTGTGTTTTCATATCTGGTATCGTACAGTGAATTCTTTCAAGATGTCAAGTGTGTGAGCCATGAAAGAGGAGGCTACATCCTGAAACAGTCAACTCTTGGGTTCATGCATTGCACTAAGCTATGGCTTAGTTTAACCATGGTTCATTGAATAACTAAAGCTGTCTGAGTTCAGTTAACATACTAAACCATAAGCCATGGTTTTATAGCAATCTCAGGGCTTGAATTCATACAGTCCATTGAGCAAAACCAACCCCACCCCACTTTTGTAGGCTTTGCGCAACTTCTGTTGGCCACCCTGGGCTTTGCACAATTCATAAGGGACCATGCTTCAAAAGCAGCAGAGCCAGATCCCATTTAGGCTAAATGTTTCCAAAGCTTTAAGCGTCTTCAAGTCTTCATGTACCCGTATAGCCCTTAATTCAAACACAGGTTCAAGCTTTCAGCTCCACCCATTCTGGAAGCCACAAAAAGGCTGTCCTGCACCTTTTCCACTTCCGGTTTGGCATAGTATATGGATCTCATCCATACGGGACTGCCCCTTGCAGTCTGCTTTTGGAGGTGCCCCCTGAGATGATTTCTTAGACTCGACTCGCCCTACTTACCGAGGCTGGCTATTGGTGCCTCTTAGACAGGAAGGGTTGTAAAAGACTTTTGGCTGGAGTCAGAGATTTCCTGACTAATAATGTTTTCTGGGATTCTTGGCTCCGCTTCCAGCTCTTGACAGCTCACAGCTAACCCCTGATAAACGATCTCCCTTCAGGAACCTGATTTATTGAAGAAGTCCTGAAATGGCCTGAATAAAGGCTGGATTTTATTTTTTTTTAGAGCCAGGTGATTTTGCAGCAAGAGGCAGGCAGCGTCCTAAAGCCAGAAAGAAGTTCTTGGTGCGAATCCTGGCAATGAATTAGCTGCGGGCCATTACATGCAAGCATGTACGTCTGATTAGTAGGTCAAGGCAACCCTTTAAGATACTTAAAGGTCATTTAATTCAAAGCCCCTCTCATCAATTCACACTGTTTATGTGGGTAGAATTCAGCCTTTAGAGCAGGCCTTTTCCAAGATGAAGCCTCCAGATGTGTTCAACAACAATTCTGATGAACTTTATACAGCTCTGAATTGGGAGCTATCCAGCAAACGTGGTGGAGAACATTGAGTTAAGAGCAGAGTTTCTCAACCTCAGCGACTGTAAGATATGTGGACTTCAACTCCCAGAATTCCCCAGCCAGCATGGCTGGCTGGGGAATTCT